AATATATGATAGATTGATGTAATATCAAGTGGCCTAATATTTACGATAACTTAGGACACCAGTGCAATAACTTCAGATAACAATATAATATGGCACACAGAAATGTATCTACGTCGACCTTGTATCCATCTTATTCATAATTTATTGTTCTGAGCTTGACTAATTGTTGCTCGATGCGGAACATACGTGAAACTTGACGTAATTCAAATATTTACTCAACAGTCGTAATAGCAAGTGAATGTTTTTCCCGCTGAAAACTTGAGACCGCTTTTGATGCAAGTTATATGAAAGGGTTTTAATTAATGAAAAAAAAAGTTTTGAAATTTTCTTTTTATTTTGTTTTAAATATCATTATGTTACTTGTAATAAGCAAATTAGCCGTTCTATACAGACAATTTACGCAGTTCATCAATAAAACAAGATTACTCACAGTTGAAGTTTATAAAATCTTGTTAAACGTTTTCCCATGTTTATTAGCACTTATCACTCTTTATACTGTCGATGGAAGCAAAATAATCACGTATAGCTCGAATCAGAAAAATGTAGTTCAAATCTCTTGACCAGATGAGGAAAGAGGGTTTGGAAAAAGTTGTCACTCAGTGGACATATAGAAGGCAATGAGACGGAAAAAATCAGCGAACAATCGATCTAATGAGGTTGCGTAAATGTTTGGAAGAACATGGATTAGGAGAGATAGCAAAGCATCAAGCTGTGACGTCCCCCGGTGTCGCTGCGCCAAATGTGACGTCACCCCGTCTGTCTCCGCGCCGTCGCCGTGCTATCCTGTCCTGTGACGACCAATGTGACTTGGTACTGCTCGCGGCACAAAATGTGACGTTCTAACCTTTTACTGATTCGGATGGGAATCTGGTTAGATTCGGTATCAGCCTTGTCGTTCCCAGCTCGCCTCCAACGTCTGGTTACCGAAGTAACTGCTTTGATTTCTAGTCTAACCTACCCACGTTGTGATTTGATCTTAGGTAGAAGAAATCAATCAGTCGACGGGCCGTAATGCAAGCCAAGTCCGAACAAGGGTAATACCGCAAAAGTATATGTAATAGAAAATAAAGTAATAACTCGAAAAGTTCAAATGTGTTAAAAAAAGGATAACAACATTTTATATCTGGTTGCTGAATACAGGACTGGTTCTTTCTCCCAAACCACTATATGGATTCGTGACACTTTGCGTTTGTTAGGCGAGTCTTAACATCTTAAATTGTTCTTTTAAGAAACTGATTTTGGTGTATCTTCAGGCGATATTCGTAAAACTTGTCTTGGTGGTGTGAGTCTAAGTCGTTCTTCAAAAATAAATTGTTCTTGGTTAGAAGTTGAGGTCGGGATTGCGTGGAATCTTAGTCAGCGAGGCTGTCTGTGAGCTCTCAGCTCACTGCACCTGCTTGCCTGTCTCTCTCCAACCACAACTGCGAACTGCTAACTGCCTGTCCCTTCAACCCCAACTCAATTCAACTCAGCTGCGAACTGCCAACTGCTTATATGGATGCCGACCAAAACCGGGGTGGGCCTGTCGGGGTTTGAGGTTCCTTGATAATTCTAAATCCGCATTAAGGAATTTTCTTTGTTTTCGGTCAGGAAGAATTATTAATTTCCATTTTTGGAAGATTTTCGTCCTCCCCAATTCTTCCTTTCTCATATTGGTATCTCACCCATACCCTCAGAGGGTGTCAACGGGTTTCGCCTCTCTCTCACAGTGGCATCTCACACCGATCCCTTCAGGGGGGGGCGTCAACAGGCCTCCCCTTCTTCACATGATTACCTTCGCCTACCGCTCACGCCACCATTCAGCCAATGGACGCCCAGCAGTGTGGGTGTGGCCATACTGGCCTCGTTTAAAAAATCTTGCTCAAAGAAAAAAAAATATCTTCCTTTTTTTTTTTTTTTTTTTCTTTCTTCTGCCCGACAACAAACCAGTACGACCCGTAGTGTGGTCCCTTAATTTCAATCTCAACTGGACTTTATCAATCGAAACCTTTGCCAAACAAGTGGGTGGTCATCTGGCGATATCCACAGCCAATTATTCGTCCCGATAAAATATTTTTTTTTTATCATAGCCAGCTCCGACACAAAACAGATGCTCCTCTCAAATGATATTCTGCAGATTGTCAAAGGCTTAATCTTTCCTTCCTGGTACTCTGCGGGAGATCCAGCGGACATTCATCTCGTGACCCAATTAATTTTTATCTCTTAGCATTCTGTCCCGTAGGCCACTCGGCCAAAATGTAACTCTCCTTATTGCCATGGGCAAATGGCTACATCTTATTCGCCGCCCCGTAACATAAATCAAATGCGGCCGATCCGCGACCTTACTTTCTTCGCTAATGAAAATAAAATCTTTACCACTTTTCCTTGTTAGAAAAAAATAACATCGTCTTTTCGTGATAGATTCTTATCACCTAATTTAATTCTCGCCTTTTTTTTCTTTTTTTCACGCAACCCTAAATAGTGTCACAAAGCCTTACTTAGTGCTACAAAGGATATACTTTGTAGAGAGACATTATCGTCGAATCTTGAATGTACACGGCTAGAAGAAGAAGGAGAAGGAGAAGAAGGAGAGGAGGAGGAGGAGGAGAAGAAGAAGAAGAAGAGGAGGAGAAGAAGAAGAAGAAGAGGAGGAGGAGGAAGAGAAGAAGAAACTTAAAGTATTTGATTAAATACCACTAGAAGAATATATAGCACAATCTTTCAACTTTTGTGTCGCTGATGCGCAACTGAACAAGAAAAACAAAAGGGGGGGGCGTTTGGACATTTTGGTGGGCCATATATGATTTTGAGTATTAAAAAAAGTTGTAACAATTGTTAAAACAAAAAAAAATTCAAAGAGATATGCAAAGAACCTCTATAACCCCTCCACCAAAAAAAAAAAAAAAAAAATAAATAGATAAATAGAATAAAATAATAAAAAACACGAAGTAAGATGGATCACATTACTAGATCGGATATAAATATCCCAGCAAACAACGGATATTTTCCTAATTTTTTATAATTTTGATAAAGGTCATTCACATTCTTCAGAGGAAATAATTTTTTTCGGATATAAATCAGATGAGGAAAAAGCCAGAAAAACAAAAAAATATCCACATTATTTACATTGTTCGAACTTTTGTCCTCACCTTTATTGTCACAGTCATAACGTTTCTGCTGTTGTACGCTCCGGTCTTCTTCAGTGATATTTATAGCCAATCTGCATGTTGACGTTTCTGAAGATTGGTTCAATGACGTTTGTTTAGAAGTTCTTCCCTTGTTTATTTCCTGAAATGTGCTAACATGTAAACTTCACATTCTTGGGTCACTCAGTAAAGTTGCTGAGAATCTGTTCCATTTCCTAGGTCCAGCTCGAAATTCAAGCAATTATCACCAGAAACTTGTGAATGTGACAATAAAAATGAGGACAACAGTCCGAATAATGTAAATTGTGTAAATAGTTTAAATACCTCATCTCTGAAATATAAACAAAAATCTTTATTGAATTTTTATGAGTTGCTAGTAAAGTGTATATTTTTAATTTTATAATTATGTACAAAAATCGTTTAATTTTTTTGTCACCACTTTCAACGCTAATTCTAATTATAAATTTAACATAAAAGATTATAAAACTAAATTATATAGTTTTCAATTGCCAAGTTTGCTTTCTTATGTTCTTTAATACTGTAGTAGCAGGAGCAGCCGCATAAATCAACTTTAGTAGTTACCTCCCTTTGGTATTTTTACTACATCATAAAGTATTTACTATATTTTGAATATTCTTTCCAATTGTTTCTGAAAAAAAATAGTAGATTGTAGATATTCCCACGCATTCTTCAAACATTGAAAAAGCTCACTCTCACTTATTGAGCATTCTTTTCGAGATCTTTTATCCAATTACTTCCATAATATTTCATTGGGAGAAGTTTCAAAAGAATGAATCAGCCAAGTCAATTTCCTATTTTTTCTCTTATTATTGGCTCGATATAATTTTGATATAATTTAAAATTGTTTTAGATCGTTGTCATCTTGAAAATTTTTTTCCAATTAAGCATAAACCAGATATCACAGTATGTTGTTCCAAAATAGGATGATATCGCTTTTTGTTCATGATTCCGTTGACCTGAATCAAATCTACAGCCGTTTTTTTTTGTCATCTCAAAATGTCTAATGAGTGTTTAATGTTGAAGTCAAATGATTAACATATAAAATATTCATAATTTAGTAAAATCTTCTGTAGAGAGATAAATCCCAATTTGAACTTGTTTGGTAGAAAGAAAAATAAAAGTAAATATACTCTGGTTACTGGGAATTTATATTTTACTTTTAAAATTTAAAATATCTCATTTTCAGGCGTTTTTAAAGAAATGAATGACACCTAACACTTTTTGCCTGTCGTGTGTGTATGTGTGTGTGTGTGTGTGTGTGTGTGTGTGTGTGTGTGTGTGTGTGCATTTTTGAAAAACCTGGGGTTCATTAATATTAACCTAGATCCTCTAAAAATTCGATTTGAATGGTAAAAGTAAAGAAGAGATAAATAAATACTTCATCTTAACAAATAACAAAGACAAGATCCTATTTCGAAGAAAAAGGGAGTCAGAGATAATTAAAAGAATAATGACATGTACAAGTGATTTGTGTTAATCAAAAATAAAGCGTTAATTATAATTAGAAATATTAATTATGATTAATGGAATTTTAATGAGCAAGCAAATTTAATTTACTTTAATATTACATTAGAACCGTTCGTCAATTTCCAAAATGGCGGACATATTTTTCTTACGGGCTTTCATCAGGAGCAGCAATTTGATGGAGTGAGATCTGTTGAAGTTAATGTGCTTCTGCGTTGGTGAATTTTCCATGCTAAAACATTTGTCGGTTTTCTTAGTTTCGTGACGTCACCTCTCTATTTGGCATTCATTTAGCTTCACATTTAAATTCTAATATATTTTCAATCATTTATAAAATTTCGTTTATTTTTACATTTTTTTTTAATCAGAATTAATTCATTCTCTCGTTAGTCTATTCTTTCTTTTCTTGTTACTTTACCTTTCTTTGTTCCTTTTTCTGGGCATATTATTTGGTTAGCCATTTTAATATTATTTTCCTTCTATTATTTGTTTGTTTTTTCTTGATTTTCTTTTTTTGTTTATTCTTTGTTTTTGTCTTCCTGTCCTTCTTCCTTTCTATTTCTTCCTATCTTTCTTTCTTTCCTTTTTTTCCAGTCTTTCTTTCTTTCTTTCTCTTTCTTCCTATCTTTTTTTTCATTTCTCTTTTTTCTTGCCTTTCTTTCTTTCTATTTTTTCCTGTCTTACTTCCTTTCTATTTCATCCTGACTCTCTTGCTTTCTTTTTCTTTTCTTTCTTCCTTTCTTCTTTTCTCTTTCTTCCTGTCTTTCTTCCATTCTATTTATTCTTGTCTTACTTCGTTTCATTTTAACCGCCTTTCTCTCTCTCTTCCATTTTTTTATTCCAGTCTTTCTTTCTTTTCTCTTTCTTTCTGTCTTTATTCCTTTCTGTTTCTTCTATTTTCTCTCTTCATTTGTCTCTAACTCTTCTCACTCAGTTCTTTAATTTTTAATTAATTCTTTTCTTATTGTGTAATTTTCTTCCTATTTTTTAAATAAGTATTTATTTTTCGGCTTTACTTCTGTTTTTAAATTAATCATCATTTTCTCTTGTTACTTTCCATTCTTTATCCATTCTATATATTTATATTTGTTATTTTTTTCCTTCGTTCTCAATTTTCCTGTTCTTACTTCTTTATTTTTACTGCTATTTCCATTATTTTTCATTTTTCATTTTTTTGCACTTTCCCTTCATTTTATTTCCTTGTTACTTCCAATCTTGAATTTATTTAATCTTTCCCATAATTCCGTCGGTATTCTCTTCATCTTTGCAAATTTATTTATTTTTCCTCCATTTTGTTTTTTTCCTTACAATTTTCTTTATAGTTTACACTTTATCTGAATTGCATTCTCTATCACTATTTGCCTCCCACATTTAACTTTGCATTTTCTTCTTCTACAATGTTCAACTCTCTTTAGCTGCATCTCCTTCCATCTCTAGTAAAAGCATTTTCAGGCTTGTTATTTTCTCCGCTAATTTGTTTTCTTATTTATCCTATAGTTTACTAAAATTAATTCTTTCTTATAATTCATTTAAGTCAATTTCATTTTTCAGTTGTGATTGCTTCCATTTTTTTTTATCAATAACCAATATAGAAAAGATGGTATTATTGTTATCACTTTGCTATGATAGGTGATATTATGTATGGTCCTGTTGAGAATTGTGAAATTAGCGCACTCTGAAAGCATTTTTCTTTGTGAATCATTTATTACCTTAATAAGAAAAACATTTAAGTTGAATGTGTTATTAGATATTTTAATAGACATTTTTAATATAAAAAATGCAAGTGTAGACCCATATGGCACAATAAAATATATTGATATTATATATATATATATATATATATATATATATATATATATATATATATATATATATATATATATATATATATATATGGGACAAAGTCCGACCAATATTTTAAGACATTTTATCTATAAAAAGAACGTATAAACATAAAAAATGTCTTAATATATATATATATATATATATATATATATATATTTATATATATATATATATGCTTGAATGCCTACAATTGATAACAGAAGCCATTGGTTCATCCAAACGGCTTCCAATATTTAACACTTCTCGGTTTCACTCTTGCTTGGTCATGTTTGATGCCATGTGCCGCTCCTCGATTTTCGCTTCCAGCGTCTCGTATGCACGAATTTGTCGTTGCTTGGGAATCTTCCATGCAAACAAAAACAGACTATCATTGTTGCTATGTTCGTCTATTGTTTAATTTTTTGTAATGTAATTGTCATCTTTAATGATGGCTTATTCAAGCCGAAAGCTAAGATAGGATTAAAAAACATGTATCGACCATTTAAAATTCGTCAGTTCTGCTAATAAAAACATTCATTCCAACATTAATTTCTGTATTAATACGCTAAATATGGTGTGTAAAAACAAGTTTTACTGGGATATACTTGTAGGAAACTGCTGACGGTTCGGTTAGTGGTATGCAGTAGAGTCCCACTATTTACATTATTCGGACAATTGTCCTCATCTTTGTCACCATATTTATTACAATGTTTCGGCCGTTGTACGCAGCGGCCTTCTTCAGGTGGTTGGAACGTCGAACTGAACCCTTTGCTTCGCTCACTGGGGTATACTGTTCTAGTTCCACGTGCCATCTCTAATAGATGTCAGTTATCAGTTACCTGTTAATTCCTCTCTACAAGTTTCCACCGCCTTAACTAGGTATTGAACTCACACTCTTTGGGTCCTGTCACTGGATCAAACTAACGGCTTTATCCACTGTGCCATGTGTCCTTGACATTCCACTGTATAGGTCGATCGCTAGTTTTGGAGATCTTTTTTAAAGCTTAAGCTATTTTTTTTTTTTTGGTGAAATTCAAGTAGCATCAGAGACGAAAAAATAAATGCAAATGGAAATTTTTTTTTTTTTTTTATGTATTATTGATAAAAGACCAAATAGTTTCCATGCCTGAGAATGACCGGAGGAACCATCGAAAGTACTTGCATATTTAAGGAAAAACTAATACAGTTTATAATCTTAAAAAACAAAGATCATGGCATTCATCTAGTGATTAGTGGGTCAATGCATATTTAAAATTTAGTTAGCAAAGGGATTTCTCCAATTTATATCATTAACTTTACTAGTTTACTTTGTGTATGAATGATTCATTGTAATATAAGTTAAACTGCACGACATATTTGATATATATATATATATATATATATATGTGTGTGTGTGTGTGTGTGTATGTGTATATATATATATATATATCAAATATTTGGTGCAGTTTATATTACATATATACATACATACATATATATATATATATATATATATATATATATATGTATGTATGTATGTGTGTGTGTGTGTGTATATATATAATAAGGAGAAAGAATATTAAGATACATAAACTGGTGTCCTTATTAATATTTCGATTTTTAAAAAACAGTGTTCAATGCAAATCTAGAGACCATAGATATTATAAATTTTTTATTTAAAATATGTTTCCATTGCTACACAGGAATTACCATGTTTCAAAATAGTAAGCTAGAAACTTCACACTCAGTTACAGAATTAAATTAAATTAATGTCCCTAGTTTTTAGCTTGATTTTGAAACATGCTAATTCCCATGTAACGATGAAACCATATTTTTAAATAAGTAAATTTATACTATACACACACACACATATATATATATGTGTGTGTGTGTGTGTGTGTGTGTGTGTGTGTGTGTGTGTGTGTGTGTGTGTGTGTGTGTGTTTGTAATATCAGGGAGAAACGATATGTAAATATAAAATGACACTGGCGCCAATATTGAGTGGGGGAGTATTTTTCATGTTTGAAGGCAATTTTCAGGCAATGGTTTAATTCAAGCAAGAACGGCGTTATTTGTCCATTTGGTTACATAGAGCTTCACGTTCCAAGCAAGCTTCTTTTTACATTAAATCAAATATAATTATTATGTTCAAACGATCGAATGTGTTTTAAGGTAAATAAAACCTTGCTTGATCTGTGAAGTTCATCGTCGCCGAGCGCTGAAACCACGCCTGGCCAGACGGCAGTTTCTCTTGCAAGTCAGAGTTGGTCAGGTTCGATTCCTCTAAGAAAGCACGTTTTCTTTATTGTTTTCTAGAGTGCGCCAGCCGCTTGAGAAATAAAAAAAAAGAGTCGACTTCCCTAACACGAGTAGCAATTAAATATTACAGTCACAGTAATAACAATGATTCTAAATAAAATGAAAAATAACAAGAAATGTTTAACATTGAATATAATTATTATAATCAACCAATTTAAAAGGAACCATGGAAAATATTTACAGAATGCGATGGGTAAATTATTGCCATTTTATATTTTTAATTTCGATTATGTGCGTTGTTTGTCTTTGATTTTGTCGATGTCATACTATAGTAGGGTCAGTTGAACAAAGTCTGTGAGAAAAAGAGCACCAAGAAGCAGTTCACTTCGTCAGATAATTGTAAAAAGCATACTATACAGCTTGGCATTCGCACCCGAGGCTCCAATATGAATATTTCAAAATGTTTGGGTGTCAATCTGAGAACAGTACAGAACTATCGGAAAGAGTTGGATGAGTCTAATAGTGATTACGAAGGGGTTTGGAGTGATCACTAGTGATGGCGACGTTATGCCTCCATTCATCATAGACTCAGCACGGAGGCCAATATCAACTGACATGATGAGGTAGTGCTGCGCTAGATCAAGAATGTGGCTGATGGAAGAACTTATGCCTGACAACAGGACTATGCACCATGTCATATAAGTAGGAGTACCCAGTTATGGCAGTCAGACAATTTCAGCCCTTACATCTGGCGGCCTAAACCCAGGGCTGAAACCCTCATGATTATTATGTGTGCGGCATATTTGAAACTTAGAGATCAACAATAGACTTTATAAACACAAAAAATGAACTGAGGGTATGGATTATGGAAGCATTCACCAACTTAAACAAGGAGAGCGTCCAAGAAGATGTAGGGAATTCCGAAGGCGATTGGAGGCCGTGATTGAAACCAATGGCAAATTTTATTGAATAAATTTACTCTTTAGTACTTCAAGATATTTTTGTGTCATTTTGGTAAATATATCTTTTAAAATGAGATATCAATATTATTTTCATTTTTGTGAAATATAATAACAATTTATACATCGCACCCAGTATATAATTTAATTGATGTTTATTTAAGCTTCCTCATTGTCTTTTGGTAACGTTAGCAACGCATAGGTTCCTATTGGTGAGCTTTTATCGTTTAAAACGTGTGTCTATTTTTTACTTACGCGACAAATCTTTTCTGTTTGCGAAGTTTTCTTGTTAATATATTCAAATACGCGATGAATAAATTCTACATAGTTAATCAGGTTTCTCGAAGTTGGCCCCAAAATAATATTCTTCCGTTAAATTCATTAGGTACTGTGTATTTTGATTTGTTTCATAGGTACCGAGTTATCAGTACAAACTTTCCGCCCAGGCAGCGTTTATCTACACTTTAAACTCTGCATGTACTGATTTTAAACCAAATAGCACCTAAAAGTTATAAAGTTTACATAGACTGGTTTCAAACTACGTATCTCCCTAATCGAGGTTTTAAAATTTTCATAAACAATTTAGCACTTACAAGATTATTCCACGCCTTAAATTAGCGTTAAATTCCATAGTCATAACAATTAATCTGGTTTTAAACCTTACATACATTGGTTTTAGTCCTACAACATACATGACTGAAATGCCTTTACTCAATTTGATAAGATGTAGCATATCTTAATTTCTTTTTTATGTGCTGTGTTCTTTTAGGACGTAAGCGAAAATGTATCTCCAAAATTTGTTTTGACCAAAGGAATCACTGTTCCCTTTTGTTGAGGGGACCTCCCCTTTTTACACAAATGGACTCACCCAGCATATATATATATATATATATATATAT